CATTTTTAATGCTTTGTATTTACCTGAGTCATGGGTAGGGGTCTGGGCCACACGTTTTCTCTTGCAGGGGTCTTCAAACCTTTTTGCTTGGGTGACGCATACAAAAACTCTGAAAAATGATGTATACCCTCCCAGACTGATGACACGTTTTAAGTTAGCATCCACAATTTTTACTTACAAAGCTTACATGGTTGTAAAGGATGTGATTTTTAGGAGTATTGTAAATATGGTTATTTAAAAATAAACTTACCTCTTTTAAAATGCACCCATATGAATCTAAATGGCATAGTGATTTGTTACTTACCATTGATTTGAAAATAAAGACTTTTTATTAACAATGAAAAATTTCGTTCATTCCAGATCTCTTTGAACTTCTACCTAAATTGCATATTGCCCACATAATTTTATCCTTATGTATTTTCATGCTTGAAATTCTTATTGATTTACATGTAATACTTTTATGTAACAGAAAATAGAAATTAGAGACTTTGAAGTTTCTTTTGAACATATTTTCTATTAAATATTAAAAAATCTTAAATATTTTTTGTTATTGCAATTTTAGACATGCAGTTGTCTAAAAATTTTGTAAAGTATTAGGCATAAAAATTTATTAAAAATGGGCTGCTTAATGTTTGATGGTGCCTTTCTCAATTAGTTCCAGTGCCATTGATGATACTAAGACAAGCATTCTGTTTTATTTGTATTCTTTTTATTTATTTATTTAGAATCATCACAGTTTTAAAAAATTGAGATATATAATTGACATAAAACATTGTGTAAGTTTATGATTTTTACTTTTTTTTAAGTACAAGTCACGAGAAACTTTGCTTACATAAATAAATTGGTGGAAATTGAAGGAACTTTGTTACAGTAATGTCATTCAGTGTTTTGACCTCCTGAATTACATGCTTAAAAAAAAGCAGTTACTAATTTATAGGTAAGAAAATGTTTTAATGTCCTATTAGTTAGTAAGTCCAGTCCTTTCTTCAATTTTAATGAAAGCAGAGAATTGAAAGCCAAACACTCAAAAAGTATTTGGTTTCCTGATCTTTAGGTGCATGACGCACTTTTTTGTCAAGACAGATATTTTGATTTTTCCTTTCCTGCCCTAAGCACTACACTACAGCCCCTCCTTCTTCTGCCCCTTTCCCCGCCACCCCCACTTCTCTCCTGTTCCAGGGAGGCTCATGCAGGGTGAGGGGGTGTGTCCCCTCCACTCCTGCCGGGGGCTTGCTTTCTAGCTCTCCCTCTCCCTCTCCCTCCGTGGTACAGGATCTCTCCAGCTGCCCTACCCATCCCAGCAGTCTCTTTTCTAGCTTTCTCTGTCTGTGTATAAAATTTGTATATTGAATGTTCTTATCACCCTAATGAATGACCCTCTTACTCTTTAATGTAAAGATAACATGCATGCAAAGTTTAAAACCCATTTTTAAAAGTAGCCAATGCATACAATGTCTTTACTACTGCCGGGCACTGTCCCAGGTGCTTTAATGCTCAGTCCTGTGACGTAGGTACTGTTGTCATCCTCATTCCTCATGTAAGGAAACTAAGGCACAGGGAAGTCAAGTAACTTGTGTAGTGTTATACAGCCGCTAAGTAGCGTAGAACTGGGATTTGGTCCTAAGCAGTCTGGCTTGAGTACGTGCTTTTACTATACTACCCTGCCTCTAAGAAGATGGTTGCTAGAATGAAAGCTTTAGCAGTGGAAATACATTGTTCTTAGTACTATGGCTCTTATAAGAATCCAAAGAATTACAGTTATGGATGTAGAATATTCCTGTTCAGTGGTATATGAGATTTCTTGGTAAAATGCAATGTGGTATATATATTTAAGTATTACAGTTACTTAAGTTACAGTTTTTATTCAGATGGCTAATTCTGTAGCTGAAACATTAAGCTCTTATTCATGTACTCTTCTTTATTCCCATTACAGTATTTCGGGTTCTCTCCTCTATCTTCCCTGTATTATAATATTAACTTCTTGTGAGAGAATGGGCTCTTCAGAATCAGGCTCTGATCTGTCTACAAATCCCGTCTCAGTTTTTAGCCCCTATTAGTCATTAGCAGAATCACTCTGACCCTGTGTTTCAGCCATGTTGATTTTAAATCATCTTATCTCCTGCTGTTTTATGAGTTTACCTGCTCTACACACACACCCTTATCTGAATTCTTCTCCGCTTCTCTTCCTGCTTAGTGAATTTCTGTGTACCTGTTATGGCCCAGTTTTAATGTCACCTTCTATGTAAAGGCTTCTTGTT